CAAAACGAGAATCTCTGAGATCCGGCGGCTCTGGAGGATGTCTCGGGAGCCGCGGCCTTCTCAGAGCGTTCCATGATGTTCTGAGGGCGTTCCGGAACGCCCTGGAACGGATTGATCCTCGTCCTAGCCCCGTCTGATGATGGCCACCCCTCCCACGCAAGGAAAAGAGAGCAGAAGGAAGACACCGGACCAGACTCGAATCTGCGCGCGTCGGAGGACGGGAACTGCACTCCGCACAGCAACTACAAGGGGAACAAGCAGTGACATAAACATAGAAACTCGGAGGTCCGCGCGGGCCTCCGAGTTTTATGTTCATTTCATTGCTTCTTCCCCTAAACACAGATTCTGTACACAACCCTCACGAACAAGCTGGCCTGGCACACGACCACGGAGAGGGGGTTGTCTAGAAAATTGGGCATCCTCTGGGGACGCAATGTTGGCACACCACCCCGACGAACAAGCCGACCCGGCGGTACGCGCGCGGGGGCGGTGGCCATCAGTCGTCCCCCGACGGGGCCTTCCCCAAGACCAGCTGCTCCTCCCGAGCCGCTTTCGGCCTCCGATCGGGCGGGTGGCTTGGTTGCTGCTGCCGTGGTGTGCCTCGAACCTTCTCCCTCCTTCCCGTCGCTCGCCTCGGGTCGGGCATGTCCTGCTACAGGAGGATTTTGGAAGAAAAATAAAACAGAGTCAAAACGTACGCAAACAAAATCACAAATGTCAGAACAATCCCCCCCAGACTAATTGTTGACTATTCTGGGCTCCTGTAGCTGGACATGCCAGACCGAAGTCTGGCGCTCGTTCGCCACTCCTCGTCGTCCGTCGCCGTCGCCGCCCCTGGCCGCGCGGCGGCGGCCAGCGGCGGCGACGGCGTCGGCCGCGACGACGGCGGCGGGGCGGCGAGCGGCGGGGGCGGCGACGACGGCGGCGAGCGGCGGCGAGCAGCGGCGGCGAGCAGCGAGCTGCGGCGAGCAGCGCGGGGGCCACGACGAGCGGCGGCGACGAGCGGCGGCGGGGCGGGCGGCGAGCGGCGGGCGGCGGCGCGGCAGGCGGCCCGCGGCGGGCGGCGGCGGGGGGGGCCTGGAAGCCGAGGGCGCGGTAGTCCGCCTCGCTCTCCGCGTCCACGTACCAGGTGGGGGTCACCCCCGCCTCCTGCGGGCGGAGGCAGAGGGCCCCAGGAGGTCCAAAAGGCACCCCCCAAAACTGGCCGAGAGCCTCTGGAATGGAGCATCCGAGCAGTGCCTCGCCAATCCTCATCCCCACCGGCGTGGCAGTGGATTCGCTGGCCGATTTACCCCGGTGGATGTGGAGACATGCTGTTCCCTTGCGGGGTTTCGAGGGGCCCATCCCCATCTGGGTGGGTGGGCCGTTGGGACAAGGGTACCATTGTTGGGTGGCCAATCATGGGTACGGAAAACACGAGCAAGGTGCCCAGCGGCGAGCGCTTCCCAAAAGCAACCAGCGGCCGCTGCTGTTGGGCAGCCGATCGGTCGTCTCGGGTGGAGCGCGTCCGCGGTGACACCGACAGGGAGAGTCCTCTCCGAAATGAACAGGCTCTGCTGCCAATCTTCGCTGCTGTTGCATCCGCACCCACGTCCATCCCCCAGAACCGCGGCCCAGGTCCGGTTGAGCGGTGCAGCACCTCGACCCTCGGGGCCCGCTCCTCCCGCCCCGCGGCCCCCCAAAACGACCCGAGCGCTTCCGCGTGGGTGAAGTTTCGTCTCGGATTCACGATTGATGGCCGCAAAGCACGGACACGGCCCCTGGAATCCCAAACCGAAGAGGAACCGCCAGTTGAACAAGCATCCCGGCGAAAGACCCAACGAGATGCAATTGTGAGTACCGCGCTGTGGGTACCGCTTTCGGTGGGGCTTCTTCTGAAACCACGGAGCGAGCGAGGGGTGTGCCGTAATGGGTGGGGGGGACGCGTGCGGCCGCGGCCACTGGCGTCTTCGGATGAGCTCCCTATGGGGCCACGAAGCGCTGTTCTGGGCGGGGGAAACGCATGCGAACGCCGCCTCTGGGCATTCTTTGGAGCTCCCTATTGGGCCGCAAAGCAGTGTACCGAGCGGGGGAAACGCATGCGAACGTCGCCTCTGGGTCCTTCGGTAGAACTTCCTGTGGGGCCACGAAGAGCTGCACCATGCGGGGGGAGACGCATGCGAACGTCGCCTCTGAGGCCTTCGGTGGGGCCACGAAACGGTGTACTGGGCGGGGGAAACGCATGTGAACGTCGCCTCTGGGGCCTTCGGTGGAGCTCCCTATGGGGCCACGGTTCGCTGCACTGGGCGGGGGAGACGCGTGCGACCGTCGCCTCTGGGGCCTTCGGCGGAGTTCCCTATTGGGACACGGAGCGCCGTACTAGGTGAGAGGGACGCGTCCGAACGTCGCATCCTGGCCTCTGGGGCCTTCGGTGGGGCGGGCGGGGGGGACGACGCATGAGAACGTCGCCTCTAGGGCCTTCGGTGGGCATCCCCGTTGGGCCACGAAGCGCTGCTCCGTGCGGGGGACGCATGCGAGCGTCGCCCCTGGGGCCCTTCGGTGGGGCTCCCCCCCGTGGGGCCACGTGGCGGCCACGGGCGTCTTCGGTGGAGCTCCCTACGGCGCGAAGACGCGCTGTACTGGGCGGGGGAGACGCATGCGAACGTCATCTGTGGGGCCTTCGGTGGAGCTCCCTATGGGGTCGCGAAGCGCTGTCCATGGCGGGGGAGGCGCATGCGAACGTCGCCTCCGGGGCCTGCAGTGCAGGTTCCTATGGGGCCACGAAGCGCTGTACCAGGCGGGGGAGACGCATGCGACCGTCGCCCGTGGGGCCTTCGGTGGAGCTCCCTATGGGGACGAAGCGGTGTACTGGAAAAGGGGAAGACGCATGCGAACGTCGCCTCTTGGCCTCTGTTTCGGTCACGCGCCTGGTGGGGACACGAGGCGCTGTACTGGGTTGGGGGAGACGCATGCGACGTCGCCTCTTGGGCCTTCGGTGGAGCTCCTGTGGGGCCACGAAGCGCTGTACTGGGTGGGGGAGGCGCGTGCGAACGTCGCCTCTGGCTGGGGCCCTCGGTGGAGCTCCCTATACGAAGCGCGGGAGTGTGTGTGTGTGTATGTGTGTGTGTGTGTGTGTGTGTGTGTGTGTGTGGGTGTGGGTGTGTGTGCCGATCTGGTTGGCATGCGGAGGGCGGGGGCAGGCGTGGGAGGTGGAGAGGGCGGGAGAAGGCGGAGAGGCGAGAGGCGCGGCGCGGGGCGCTGCCCCTCCAGAGCGAAAGCCCCACCCCCCCCAGGATGGCTGGGAATCGCACCTGCCGGAGACGCGCGGCCTCGGCTCCTCGGGCCCCGAGCCTCCCTCCCCCGATGCCCACGCAGCGCAGCCCCGCGCAGGGCTGAACCTGAACGGTGTTTTTTCGTCTGCGTGTTGGGCTCGTTTTCCCTCGCTCGTGTCTCGAATCCGCCTCGCCGCGAAGCGAAATCGAAACGAAAACGGCCCACGAGATCGCGAAAAACACCGCTGAACCTAAACGGTGGTTTTCGGTTGCGTATTGGGCTCGTTTGCCCTCGCGTTGTGTCTCGAGTCCGCCTCGCCGCGAAGCGAAGTCGAAACGAACACGGCCCACGAAATCGCCAAACAAAAACACCGCTGAGGTCCAGCCCCGGCCCTGCGCAGCGCCGCCCTGCGCGCAGCGCGCAGGCGTCCTGCAGCTGCCGCTGCAGCACGAAGACGTCGCCGAGGCCCGGGAAGGACGAGGCGCGGCCTCGGGCGAGGGGGGGGGGAGCGGCAGGCCCAGGCCTCGGTCGGGCCTATACCCCCTTAACGGGATTTTGTGCAACACAATAAAAAACACAATTTTAAGTATTAAGCAAAAATATGTTAGATATGTATTGAACAAAAGTACATAATATATGCCAACTATGTCACATATGTCATACATGTCAAATATGTGCATACAATACACCTGACAAATATGTCAAGTAAAAAATACGCAACCATACACAACTTATGCCACATAGGTATTACACAAACCTAGCCAGAACATCGTCCCCAGGCTATGTGTTGGCTATGCTTGAACATCCCTCCTGCAGAGGGGCAGGCCCGACTGAAGCCCAGACCTCGGGAGCAGCATCCCTCATGGCTTGGGGCTCGCAGGCCCAAAGCCACGTGAGAGAAAACACTCTGTGCTGCCCCCTCCACGCGTCAGCAACAGAGCCTTGGCTCTGCTGGCCCTCAACACTCTGGGGCTTGGCCTGAACAGCCTGCGGGCGGACCGTGAAGGATACGAAATCCCACCAGCTCTCTGGGCGTGAGTGGTTTAGCGAGCGTCCTCTTCCTTCTTTCCTCGTCCCTTTCGGGAGGGGTTTACCCCTCCCCCGTACCCCCTACCCCTGGACATGGACGGGGGGGGAGTTGCAAGCAGTTAGAGCGTCCAAGATGGCCTCGACGAGGAAGCCATACTCACTGATCATACTAAGGCGTTGGCGACATGTTTGCCTCCTGGGGGGCCTAATTTACTACGGCCCCTCCCATGATCGATCTCCTCCAAGATGGTCCCCCGAGGCTCCCAAGGCGCCCCAAGAGGCCCCAAGAGGAGCCCAGGAGGCCCCAAGAGGCCCCCACGTTGCCCCCAAGACTCGCCCAATATGCCCCCAAAAGGCTCCCAAGATGCCACCCAGACGCACCCAGGAGGCCCCCAAGATAACTCCAAGAGGCTCCCAAGACGCCCCCAAGAGGCACCCAAGACGCCCCAAGAGTCCCCCAGGACTGCCACGAGACCCCCGATACGCCCCGAGGGGATTCTGAGAAGCTCTCGAAAGACATCCAAAATGACTCCCAGTGGCATCAAACAGGCCTCTGGCCTTTCCGCTCCCCCTCCCCCTTCTCCGCCTATTCCCTTCCTCCTCCCTGCTCCCCCTCCCCCTCTCCCTCTTCCTCCTCCTCCCCCATTCCTCCTGCTCCTCCTCCGCCGATTCTTCCTCCATCCTCCCCCTCTTGGGGTATGACGTCTTACACGGCTCTTTGTACCACTGCATGCTCAGCCACATCCCTGATCAGGGCAACTCGTCTGGGCATTGCTTCTGGATTGGCTGGAGAGGTTACGCGAAGCGTTTAGAATTTGGGTAAGTCGTATCCTGCCTCTCCACCCCGACTCCTGAAAGGAAACTATGGAAGCCTCGCGCGGCAAGTTGAGACCCAATGTACGTCGCATCCCCGTCGGGTGGGTGTCCGACGTACGTCGGGCTCGCGTCCGGCTTACGTGGGGACATCGCCGCGCGAACGTCCTCCCATATCTGACGGGGCGGCCGCGGGCCGCGCGAGGCATCGAAGTAGCCCTCATAACAGACCCGCTTGTGTCACGAGCGAAGTATCCTGGCGAGAGACCCAGCCATATGCAGGTGCGAATGCAGTCGTCGTGAGTACCGACTCCGGTGGAGCTCCCTGTAGGGACACGGCACGCGTGAGCGGTGTGCCGAACTGGGCATGCAGAGAACAGGGGCGGGCATGGGAAGAGGGAGGAGGAGAGGAGATGAGGAGGAAGGGCGCGGGGCGCCGTTTCTGCAACACCGGGACCCCTAAAACCACAAGATGGCTGGGAAGAACGACGGATGCCGTTGTTGCTGCAAGTTTCGGTAGTTGGGGGCCCTCCCCGCTCCCTGGCGACTGTCGAACAACGGCTCGGGGCGGGGCGGCCGCCTGCGCACGCATCCACTGGGGCCTTCGGTAGAGCCCCCCACGGGGCCACGAAGGGTGTGAGGGCACTGTCACGTCGGTGGGGCGGCCGCACGTGGACATGGCCACACGGGCCTTCGGCGGAGCTCCCTATGGGGCCACCAAGCGTGTGAGGTGTGTGCCGAACCGGGCGGGGGCGGCCGCATGTGAGCACCGCCACTGGGGCGTTCGGTCGAGCTCCCGATGGGGCCACGGAGCGCGTGAGGGTGTGCCGACATTTGCGCCGCGGCCGCATGTGGACATGGCCACGGGGGTCTTCGGTGCAGCTCCCCCTGGGGCCACGAAAAATGTGAGGGGTGCCCCGAAACTGGCGGGCCGGTCGCATGCAGACGTGGCCACTGGGGCCTTCCGTGGAGCTCCTGTTGGGGCCACCGAGCGTGTGAGGGGTGATGTTGATCGAGATGGTGCTGCGGACAATTTGTCACGAAACACATGTGCGTTCAAAAGGCATGCATGCCACACACATTGGCACGGATGCGTCTGTGGCCGCGCGGTCTGCACGGTCAGGTGACACTGGCGACCCCATCTGTTCTGAGTCTACGCGTCTGCACCGTGCGATTCGATGGTCCACAATTGACACAGAGCACTGGCTTCGTCTCGGTGACTGCATTCCCCGAGTAGGTCCTCCAGCAGCAGGCCCTGCGTATCCCAGAATTTGAAGGCGGAGAGGAGAGGAGGGATATTCAGAGGGAGAGAGATGAGGACGCAATGGGATGATCAGGAACTGGAAACAACCAGAGAAAACACATCAGAACGGATGGCCATGTTACAGCTACCGTGCTGCCGTAAGGAATTCTGAGTAGAAGGAACGAAGGGGCTCTTCTGGCCACGGCGGGCATCGGCCGTATAGGTTCCCCGACCTAGATCTAGGGAACGGTCCGAAAACCAGAGAGCCCCTCCTGAACCAAACGTGGCCCGCGTTCAAGGGCGCAAGAAAAAGAGCAGACAGTGCGCCCAAGGAGGCGATGTCTCGACTCATCTCTGATCAAACTGCAAGGAGGTGGAGGGGGGTCTTCTCCCCTGCGCGGAGGAAGCTCATGTTTTCGTTGCGCATCCAGACGTGGTACGAGTAGCCAGGGAAACACATGTAGTCGAAGCCAAGAGGGTTCGCGAGCTCCAGGCCCATGTGGACGAAAGCATGGTTTGAGGAAGAAAAAAAACGTAAACATAAAGTTTCAGAGATCACTGCGGATTTCTCGGTTTCGAGCTGAGCCCCCTTCCTGGCGCGAGGAGTGAACCAGGGGCTTCGCCGAAGGTGCCGCCAGGGGAGCTCACCGCCGATGCAAGAAATCCACGCGGAACGCCGAAAGACTATGTTGATGCGTTCGTTTTGTTCCTCGGATGGTACAAGAATGGGATGAACGCCACGTGGAATACCTGCACCACGATCTTGATCACGGGGCCGGTGTTGATGTCACTGCCGTCGCCTGCCGCGAAGCCGATGGCCAGCCCGCACTTCACGGCGATCAGGCTGTTGGACAGGATAATGCTCAGCACCAGCAAATGCACGTAGGCGAACGGCACCTGGGCGAGGACCAGAAACGTGTCCTGCGCAAGATGGCACGGCGGCCCCACAACGCGGCTGGCGCGGGCCGCAAGCGCGGCATGTCGCGTTGAGGGGAGGGCGCTCACGCCCGGCCTGGCGCGGGAACATTGCGCGCGAATGCCCGCCCAATCGACACCGCTTTCTATCAGTCGCTCACCTGGGTATCCGTGTAAGCGAATATCAGGCCGATGGAGCCACGGGCCTGAAGAACGAGCTGGTTCAACTTCGGCAAGACGAGGTCCCGGAGCGGAAACTTGTCCTTGAGGGCCAATTGGTGTATGACCTGGCCGATCCACACCCACACAACCTGCGCCTTTGATGTTTCCGTGCTCAGTATCTCCAGTTCCTCGATCGTCAGCAGGCCAACGTCCAAGAACTTCTGGAGGTCCTTCCCCGACTCCAGGCCCTGGGCCTGCGCGTAGACCAGCCGGTGCGAGAGAAGGCCAAGCCGAAGAATACGCTCCTTCACCTCCCGATGTTCCTTGCCTGGCATCTGGATCGAGAGAATTAGCATGAGGTCATCGATGGCGCCCCAGAGGCCACCGACACCATCCTTTCGGATGCTCCACCAACGCCCGAAGAGCGTGGTGACAAACATACTGACCATGAAACCAATCAAGGCCTCAAAGTAGCCGGCCATCCTCTCAAAGCTTTGCGATATGTCCTTCATGGAGCCTTTCCCCATTGACAACCAGCTCCTCTGGGCCAAGATGAGGGCGGTGGCGCTGATAGCAGTGATCATCCAGTACGTGGCACAAGTCCGCCAGAGGTCCTTGTCGGTGAGCACAGTGCCTGAGACCATGAAGAGCGCCTTGAAAGTCCCAACCTCTTCGGAATACTTGATGAGTTGAGCATCGCCTTCCTTGCTGGTGCACGAGAACTCGCTGTGCTGAAACGTAGCTAGCCCTCGCTCGTCCACGTAGTCGGCACGCATTTCCGCCTCGCAATTTGCCTCCAACTGCCACGTTGACTTTACGTTCGACCTTAGTATTCTGCGGCGATGCGCTTCCCTTTTGGCGGCCTTGGGGGGATCCGGTCTCGTCTCCTCCTTGAGAGGGGGAACGTTAGGAACGGACTTGCTCAGGGGTGGAAACGTCACCCTGGAGTCGGCGATACATCGCCCCTGGATCGGCGAGAGGCCCCCGATAGCGAATCCGCACGTTCCCTGGCGGGGCGGGCTATCGGGCCCCTATCGGCGATCAGTGGGCGATTGGGAGCCGATGCTTCCTCCCCTGAGCCTACCCCCCCTAACGTTGCCCCTGACTTCCTCGCGAGGGGCTTTGGCGGGATCGACCGGCGCTTTGACACCATCAGAGCTATGCTTCGTCAGCAGCGGGGTATGTTCGGTCGGGAGCTCGCTCATGCCTCCAGCCTGGCCATGAATTACTTCTCGTAGGTACGGTGCGGGTGACTGCGGCTGGGCAGTGATGGCTTCGGAGATGGTGATGCAAGTGATGATGTTGTCGATGCGCTCCGCCACTGGAGAAGAACAAAACTACATGAGCAGAAACTCTTGGCGCTCCGCGCGGATTTCTTGGATTCGCGCTGGACACTCCTCCCCTGGCGCGGGGAGCGCGCCAGGGGCGCCGGTGGAGGCGCCGCCGGGGGGCCCAGGCGCGGATCCAAGAGATCCGCGCGGAGTGCCAACAATTTATGTTTCTGTTTTTGTTCTTCTTTGCGCTCTCGACCCGCAAATCAAACAAATATGTGTTTTTGTCCTCCTTCGAGCCACGGGGGAGCGTGAATCACTTTGCTGCCGGCGGCGGTGCTGTGGGTGCCGGCGCGTGGAGCTATCAGGGCCTACTCATCCTCCTTTTCACCTGGGTAATATGAGGAGGAGGAGGAGGAGGAGAAGGAGGAGGAGGAGGCGGAGGAGGAGGAGGAGGAGGGGGTCGCCATTCTCGCCGCGCAAATCGGAACAGGACCAAAGGAGACAACGGCACCTGAATCATGGGGTCCCAGACCCCTCCCGGGATCCAAGCGCACCAGGTTTCAGAGCTGCGTCCAGTATTTACGACGAGGATTTGTTTTTTTCCGAATTCCGAAGGCCAACTACTGCTCTTCTCTGAGCACCGAGCGAATCGCGGTGATCTTCACCTTCTTACCCCGCCCCTGGAAAAGATCAAGGCTGTCAACCCAGACTGCAAAGCGCGCACCACAATCATCCGCCACCGTGCCTTCACGGAATGGGGTGCTAGAACATGGGCCCACATGGCACCGTTCGCTCTTGGGAGCTCTAGCGTTAAGAGCTCGTTGCATCACCGCTCGCTGTTGGAAGTCTTGGTGTGAATATCTTTGTAACTACGTCACCGCTCGTTCTTGGAAGCCTTGGTGTGAAGAGCTTGTCACGTCACTGCAAGCTATTGGGAGCCTTGGTGTTCAGAGCTTGTCACGTCACGGGTAGCCTTTCGGAACCTCAGTATTAAGAGCTTGTCACGTCACTATTGCCTCTGAAGTCTCGATGTTACGAGCTTGTTGGAACTCCGCTCGATGTTGGGAGTCTTGGTGTTAAGACCTGTTTAAACTACGTCGCCTTTCGCTCTTGGGAGGCTCGGTGTTAAGAGCTTGTCACGTCACTATGGGCTCTCGGGAGCCTTTTGTGCTCAGAGCTGTTTACGTCACCGCTCGCTCTAAGGCGCCTTGGTATTCAGAGTAGTTTGCTTCACCGCTCGCTTTTGGGAGTCCTGGTGTTACGAACCTGTCACGTCAATGTGAGCTCTTGGGGGCCTCTGTTATTTGGCGTCTCTGGGGCCTTCTGGGGGGTGCTCTTGGGGCCCTTTTGGGCTTTTGAGCCCTCTTGGGCCGTCCTGAAGCCCTTGTGGGCCGTCAGGCGTCCTGGAGGGCTTCGGCCGTCTTGGGGCTTTCTTTTGGGTTCACCTTGGGCTCTCTTGGAAGGGCGCTCTTGGGGACTCTTGGTCCGTATCGGGGATCTTCTGGTCCAGGTCAACCAAGACCTGGTTCAATCAGGCCTTGCAGAATCCTGCAAGATCCTGCGCCCAAACCTGTGTCAATGCGAAGGATCCCTCAAAATCCTGCAGGATCCTGCCCCCAAACCCGGGTCAATGCGACCCTGTCCCTGCATGATCCTACAAGGTCGGGCGCTCTGGCTGGCCCCCGTTTGCACCGACCCCCGTCTCAATGCTCCCGACCGTCGTGGGGCCCTCTGGGGCCGTCTGGGGGCCCTTTTGGGGCGTCTTGGGGCCCTCTTGGGGGTCTCTGGGGCCGTCTTGGGGCGATCTTTGGGGCCTCTTGGGCGCCGGAAGCCGGAAAAGGCGACCCAAAAACCTAGAAAATCACTAACGAAATCACTGTTCTTGCCCTCCCCAGGCCCGACCGGGTGTCCTCTTAAGGGCCATCCTGGGGCCATCTCGGGGCCCTCTCGGACCGTCACGAGGCCATCTTAGGCAATCTTGGAACGCTTTGGGGCAGTCTTGGGCTGTCATGCTACGCTCTTGGGCCGTCTTAAAACCGTTCACGACTTCTTTTGGGCCCTCTTAGGGGTATCATGGGCCATCTTCGGCGATTCTTGGGCCGTCTTGGGGCTGGGCGCGAGTGTTGCGCCGGCGCGTCCGCGCTTCGTCCCTCCCCACGGAGCCCCTCCCAGGAGAGTTCCGCCGGGCCAGAACATCTTCACTGGTGATTCGCTCTTTCGGTCACCTGGGCCAGCACGGGAACGGAAGGAGCGGCTCCATGGAGCTTGCCCGATAGTGCTCATGATGGCACTGTCCGGTCTTGGGAGACTTGGCGTGGAGGCCTCTTGGGATACTCTTCGAATGCGCTTCGGCCCACTCGTCCTGCTTTGTTTCTTGCTTAATTCGTTCGTTATTTCTTGTTTCTCTCTCTCTCTCACACACTCTCTCTCTTTCCTTCTCTTTCCTTCTCTCTCTCTCTCTCTCTCTCTCTCTTTCTGTATAAACTTGTATATGTGTACTTGGCCTGGCTTGTGGGTGAGGGGCGTGGTTGGGGGTCTCTTGGGCCGTCTTGGAGCCTTCTGGGCCATCTTGAGACCCTCTTGGGAACATCTTGGGCCGATCCCAGAGGCCCTCCGAGCCGTCATGGGCCCCTCTTGGCCCAAGAAAGCGAGAAACCAAACATCCTTCAAACACCTTAGGGCCACATATCGCCGCAACGCGTGTCCTCGAGGCGCCCGAATAAGCCAAACCGACAACGTGGCAAACCCGCGGCAAACATTGCGTACGAGGCAGCGTTTGCCTTGGTGCCCGCGGCGCCCTCCCCAAGAACCGAGGGCGCGAGTCGGAACAAACGGCGCGGCGGCATATGTGCCTTAGGCAGTATCGCGGCCATCTGGACCCTTCTTGGAGCGCTCTTCGGCCGTCGTCGGGTCGTCGTTGGACCTCTCTTGGGCCGTCTTGGAGGCATCTTCAGCCGTCTTGGAGGCCCCTTGGAGGTCTCTTCGGTGAATCCCCAGGCCTCTCGGCCGAAGAAGCCGCCAACTTGACCCCTGGAGGGCGCGTTGAAAATGGCGTTCCGTCACACCGCCCTCTACCCGGCCAACCCATTGGCGCACAACCCCTAAACTTCCCTCGCTAGCGCTCTCTCCGTCATGTTCCCATACACGCTGGGAGGGTTTTCGCATTTTCGAAAAAAAATGTTCTGTGGTCACTTGGAGGGGGAAGGAGGTCTGGAACCCGACCCCCCCCCCCTGGATGGAGGGGGCGGGGTTTCCCCCCCCCCCCCCCTCTCTCCCTACTGTTCCTCTCCCCCTCTCTTCGGGCGGCGGCGACTGGCGGAGGCGGCGGGGGCGACGACTTCTTTTTCTGGGTTGGCGCTGGCGCCTGCGGGGGCGGGCGGCGGCTGCGGGGAGCGTCGACGAGGACGACGGCGACGACGATGACGACGACGATGCTCCGCCACCGTGCCTCGGTTTCGGGTCAGAGTCCTAATGGGTGCCTCTGCGGGTCTCGTCGGAGGGCTCTCGGGGGTCTCTGAAGGGCATTTGTGAGGCCTCCTGGGCGCCTCCTGGGCGTCTCGCGAGGCCTCTCTGAGGTGGGGGTGGCGGTGGGCTGCGCAAGGATCCCTTTTGTGAGCGGAAACCGGCGACAAAGACAAAAACAACATGATTTCGGGAAACACTCTGGCGATGGCCCAGGGGTACCTGCGGAAATCATAATGTCTCTGATTGTTTGTTTTTGTTTTGTCTGGCTGTTGCCAACGTTTTTCCCTCACACATTTTTTTGTATTCCGCCTCCAGAGGAATCCGTTCGCATTTCGCCATAAACAAATCCCACCAGCCCTTTGGGCGTGAGTGGTTTAGGGAGCCCGCTCTGTTCTCAACCCCCCTTCTTCCCCTTCGGGGAAGGGTTTACCCCTCCCCCTACCCCCTCCCCCTGGGCCTGGAGAGGGCGCCCCGCGGGTCGTTGGAGGGGTCTTTTTCGACTCCTGGGAGGGCTAAAAAACGACGACCTTCACGAGGATTCTGGCCCCGACGGGGGGGCACCGTCTGGTCCCCCTCCTCTTCTTTAAAGCCAGAATCATTGATTGTACTACGGTTTTGGCCCCATTTTGGCGTCCTGAGGGGGCCGCGCTCATCTTCCTTCAGGTCGCAAGAGGCCCCAAGATGGCCCCAAGAGGCCCCCAGGAGGCTCCCAAGAGGCCTCCAAGAGGCCCCCAAGAGGCCCCCAAGCGGCCCCAAGAGGCCCCCAAGAGGCCCCCAAGAGGCCCCCAAGAGGCCCCACGAGGCCCCAAGAGGCCCCCAAGAGGCCCCCAAGAGGCCCCCAAGAGCCCCCAAGAGGCCCCACGAGGCTCCAAGAGGCCCCCAAGAGGCCCCACGAGGAGCCCGAACGACTCACA